CGTCGTCGCGGGCCAGCGATTCGCGGGCTTCGGCTTGTCGGCGGGAGTACGGCAAGGCTGCCCTCTCTCCCCGCTCCTCTTCGCCATCGTCGCCGACCTCCTACTACGACGTCTTCAACGCCTACTCCCTTCAGCAGTTCCACGGTCATACGCGGACGACCTGGCCCTCGTCACGCAGAGCCTCCACCAGGACCTTCCCACTCTGGAGCGACTCCTCCACGAGTACGAGCTGATCTCCCGGCTGGGCTTGAACTGGGGCAAGACGGTCATCATCCCGCTCCGCCAGGTGGCGCTGGAGGACCTCCGGGCCTCGGTGGCCGCCATTGCGCCGCGGTGGGGCGCCGTGCGGCTGGCGTACTCGGCCGAGTACCTCGGCTTCTTCCTGGGCCCCGAGTCCGAGGACGCAACCTGGCGCAAGGCGTTCGCCAAGTACCTGCTCCGAGCATCCCTCTGGGGCGAAGTCGGCTGTGGCTTCCAGCTGACGCTCATCGCGGCGCGCGTGTAGGTGGTGTCCGTCCTCGGCTTCGTCGCGCAGCTCTTCCCTCCCGAGACGTGGCGTGCGACCGAGCGCCAAGCTGTCGCGCGTCTCTTCCTTGGGCCACGCGGATGGTTGTCCCCGGAGGTTCTCCGCGACCCGAGGCCGATGGGATTTGCAGGCGGTCTCACGGACGTCGACCACCTTTTCCTTGCCGCTCGCTTCCGTGTGGTCGTCCACGAGGCGCGTCGCCATGGAGGCCTGCAGGTGGCACCTCGTGCCCGCGCCCTGCGCGAGGGCATGGCCGCGACAGAGTTCCTGTACCGGAGGGCTGTCTGGCATCAGTGGTTTGCGAGCGCGGCCGTCCTGCACCTGGAGGCCGCCGCCGACCACTTCGAACGTCTGGGATGGAGGGCCTCCCGCGTGCGGACCAGGATCCTCGGCGCCGCGGACGCACCAGTGGACGCGGAGGAGCGGGAGGAACGCTGCAAAGCCCGCTGGCAACGCACGGGCCTGGACATTTTGCAAGAGCTCCCGACGGCAGTGCCCGGGCGCTTCTGGCGGCGACGTCTGGAACGGTGGTCTTTGAACCTATTCCCGCGTCTCCGCGCTTCGCGGGCGCAGGGGGTCCTCGAGAGGTTGCGGACTGCGGCTCCTCCTTGCGTCCGCGCCGCATTGCTGCGGACGTGGCTCAACGGATGGTGCACCGGCCGTCGGTTTCAGCAGCGACGCAGATGCATCTTCGGGTGCATGCTGGAGGACTCCATCGAGCACTACGCGCACTGCCCCGTCGTGCACACGTTCGCGCGGCGCCGGCTGGCGATCCCGTCGGCGGCGGACAGCCTGGCAGCTTTCCTGCTGATGGACCGGCCGGTGGCGAACTTGCCCGCGGACACCGTCCTGCTTTCCGCGGTGCGGACCGCCGCGGTGTACAGGGTGCACTGCAAATCGCGCCACTCTGAGCAGACTGGCCCGATGACGGCCGACGCGCTCCACCAGGCTAGTCTGGAGCTGGTCCGCGGGCATCCTTCGGCGAGCGCGCTCGCGCGGGCGTATGCTGGCGAGCGCCGCGCACCCGCGCGCGCGCCGCAACGACGGGCAGTTTCTGCTCACCCGTACCGCCGATAGGGCGCCCCGGCCGCCGTCTTCCCGCTCCTCCTCTCCTCCTCCTCCTTGAGATGTTTTTTTTATCCTCTGGGGGGTAACGCTCGTTACCCGGGCCTCTCCCCCCCCCCCCCCCCCGTAACGGTAACGCTCGTACGCGGGGGGGGTCTCGGTCTTCCCCTCCAACATGCTGGTGCCCGAAGGCATGCGCACTGTGGTGTGGTGGTCGCAGGCGCACTGTGGGCGCTCGCAGGCCATTGCGGCGCTCGCATGCGCGATGCTGGTGCTTGCGGGCTTTGCGCTTGTACTCGAATCGTCGTCGTCGTCGTCGTCGTCGTCGTCGTCGTCGTCGTCGTCGTCGTCGTCGTCGTCGTCGTCGTCGTCGTCGACGGCGCCCGAAAACGGCCTCCGGAGGCCGAAACAGGCGGCAAACGTCGTCGTCGTCGTCGTCGACCTCGTCGCTCGTCGCTCGTCGATCATCGTCGTCGCGCGCGCGGGCGCGGGCGTGGTGCCGGGACCACGCGGCGGGCTTTGCGCTTGTACTCGCATCGCAAGCCACTGTGGTGCTCTCAGGCAGAGAGCGCTGCTCGCGCGCATACTATGGCGATCGCAGAGCGCCCCTGCTTCGCCATACCCCGCCCAGCCCAAGCGTTACCGTTACCCGGGGGGCACGACCCCCCCCCCCCCCCCTCGGGTAACGAGCGTTACCGGCCGGAATAAAAAAATGATCTCCTTCTGCACTCGCGGGCCGTAATTCGTGACATTTTCGTTGCGTGTTGCCGCCGCCTTCGCAGGCCGTCTTCAATTTTGGGTGTACCGGCCTATCCTCGATTTGAGGCCCGTCCCCGGCGTCCGTAGCCCGAGTTTCGGCCACGTTCGCAGGACAACCCTGCGGGGGGCTTTCCTTGTCGACGGTGTGTCTGGCGTCGCCCGGGAGCGTGCAGTACAGCCGTGCGCGTTCGCGAATAATTGCCCTAATTTCTGCACCTCTTTTCCTCCCCTCTCTCCTCCTCCTCCCGTTCCTTTGTCAGGTTGTGTTTTTCGTGCATGACAGGAGGCTTGGACCAAAGGCTCGCGGCGTTTTCGCTTCCAGCGAGTTGCATCGCAGTTGGGGCTTTCACGCTTGCGGCAGCATGAGTAGGTTAGCTCCTGTGGAGGTCCCGCAGACCACCCCGCAGCCGCGAGGGATCCAAGGTCCCAGGTGACCGGAAAACGCTTCCCGCCACCCGGCCTGAATTCCCGCCGGTGCTTGCGAGTATGGGCATCCTCTGCTGTCCCGGCCGCGTGGCCGATAGCGTCTCTGCCTAAGCTGGCTTGGAGCGGGTAACAGGGTTCAAAGTTGTACCGCATCCGCCTGGGATATCCTTCCCCCCTCGTCTCTTTCCTCCCGCTCTCTCCCCCCCTTCCGCTCTCTCCTCGGATCGTGTTCTGGTTAGTCCGGCCGTGCATTGCCGCGGTACTTGCCGATCCGGCAGCGCACCGAGTCCGTGACATGAATTCCGCTGTTCGCTTCTGTCCCGGCCACGTGGCCGATAGGCTCATGGGCGTGCCGGCCCATCCGCTATCGCACGGCGGAGGGTTGTTGTTTGGCGCGGCGGCGGAAAAGGGGCGCGTCTTAGCGCCATCGTGTTGAGTCTGCTTGTCTCCTCTCCTCTCTTCTCCTCTCCTCTCTTGCCGTTGCCGCCGCTGCCGCTTATCTACCGTCTGCAATCATGATAGCTTGTTGGAGTCGCTCCGGCTGGAGCTGCATTCGCGGGGGATTTCCGAGTGCTTTGGCTTGTCCACCCTCCTCCCCCTCCCTCCTGTCTTCCTCCTCCTCCTTCTCTCCTCCTCGTTCTTGTCGGGGTTTAAAGTTCGCGTGGTCATTCACGGAGCTTGGCCTCTCATAGTTTTGTAACTATGCAGTTTTGCCATTGTCCAAATTCTCCAGTTGCACGCAACGGTTCGCCTATGGCAGGCTGGCCTGCGCGCTGCTCCAGGTGTATTGGATTTCTCCTCCGCCTCTCTCCCCCTCTCCTCCTTTCCTCCTCCTCTCCCCGCCCCTCCGGCCTAGGTGAGGCTCGACGTTGGCACGACCTCTATTTTCGGGTGTTGGCCCTGTAGGATAATCCGCAGGTGCGCCGCAGCCGATCTGTTCGCCTGGCGAAATCATACTCGAGACCGGCATTTGTTTCCCTCGGGCGCGCGCCGAGGAAATGTTACTTAAGACCGGCTTTTTCCTAAATGGCCGCTTCTGTGATGCTCAGGCGGAAGACTCTTTAACAGTTTTTACGCCGGTTGGGCTTGCATCCAGAGCTGGCAGCAGAGGATATCGGTCCTGTCCGCTTCGTCCCCTCTGCTTTCCTCCTCCTTCTCCCAAAAGTGCGCTGGAAAGAAAAAAATGTATGCCCTTCGTGGCCCCTGCTCGTTCGCGCCCGCCATGGCTCCATATGCATGCGCTTCGTGGCCCCGCTGTCGCTCTTCGTGGCCCCCTCGCTGTCCTTCGTGGTCCCGTCGATGCCGTCAGTGGCCCCTTCCTTGCCCTCTGCGGCCCAACATACGTATATCCTTCGTGGCTCCCGCTCGTTCGCGCCCGTCGTGGCCCCATATGCATGCCCTTCGTGGCCCCGCTGTCGCCCTTCGTGGCTTCCTCGCTGCCCTACGTGGCCCCGTTACTACCCTCAGTGGCCCCGTCGTTGCCTTTTTGTGGCCCCGCATTATCTGCCCTTCGTGGCCCCCGCTCGTTCGCGCCCGTCGTGGCCCCATACGCATGCCCTTTGTGGCCCCGCTGTCGCCCTTTGTGGCCTCATTGCTGCCCTTCGTGGCCCCATCACTGCCCTTCGTGGCCCCACTGTCGCTCTCGCTCTCGCTCGCGCTCGCACTTTCGCTCGTCGTCGTCGTCGTCGTCGTCGTCGTCGTGATCATCGTCGTCGGCGTCGCCGTCGTTGTACCCAACCTTCCAATGTATTTCAACATGCACATCAAGCGTTTTTCGTCGTTTTCGGCCTCTGGGGGCACTCGCCGGGTCCCAGGACACTCAAAGCGACTCGGGACGAAAAACCGTCCCAGGGAATGGGTCGAGACCCCTGGAGACCCAGTGTTGAACAAATCAGTGCATCGGTCCCTAGCGAATTGGCAGGACAGGGGCCGAGGCTGTCCGACGGAGGTACCTAAGACGGGGCCCGTGGGCGGTCCTGGCGGGGTTCGATTTCAACTTCTGGATTCCGCCCCCCAGGGGTACTTGGTGGAGGAGTGTGCGGTGGGCCCCATCCAGAGGAGAGCGGCCCGCGACCGCTGCGCTTGGAGCGTGCAGCGGATACACCTGACAGCATTGTCGTCTGCCTCCAGCCTGTGCGCGACCGATATACTCCCTCCATCACTTCGGGACCTTTCTCCTCCTCTGACTTCCCCTTCCCTTCTGGCTCCTGCCGGCACCGCCGAGGAGAGCGTTGCGACGCAGGTCCCCGACGAGCTGTCCCCGTTCCTCTCCAGCTCGCAGGGCTCGCCCTGCCAGGAGTCCCAGGCGAGTGCCGGCCCGAAGTGCCGCTTGTCTCTGCCGTATGTGTCAGAGGCGGCCATGACGCTGAAATGCTGAGGACCATTCTGGGCTCAGAGGGGGGCTCCGATTTTCGGGTCTTTCAGTAGATCTGGCCAGGCAGCCTTCTCGTGGCCGAGGCTCGCTGAGGCCAGAAAGGCCTTTCGTTCCTTCTTGAGCGCTCCTTCTGGCAGCACGAGGGCTATATGCCGTGCTACTGTCGCCGCCTCCATCTGTCGACGAGCTGCCTTGCGCCTGCAGAGCGGAAGGGCCAGGGGGGGTGGTTCTGGCTGCCGCCAGAGGCCGAGAGGAGAGGTCGCGCACATGGCCCCAGGAGGCAAGGCGCGGGCCCAGAGGAATATGAGGAATATGAGGAATATGAGGAATATGAGGCATAGGACGAGGCGACGGCGACGGCGACGGCGATTTCTATCTACCCATCCTTAAAGAAAAGGGGGGGGGAAAGAGGGGAGTAGGCCCAGCCACACACCTGCGCCCCAAGTGGCAGACGGAGGTGGCTGGGAGGGTTTTGCATACCCGTCCTTGGAGAGCTCGGTTAAAAGGCGGGGAGCGGGATCGACCTCATGAGTGACGCCGCGGCGGCACATGTGACACCGCGGCGGCACGGGTCGAACCGCCACCCTTGGTGTACTGGTGTATCCGGTTGGCAACTGACCCCAAAGAGTATTGGATTACTGATATTGACAGGCAGGGGATAAATCCCGTTCACGGCCTCATGGAGGAATATGAGGAATTGGTTTACTGGTGTATTGGTTGATTGGTGCATGAAGATGGAGGTACGTTTGGACCCCTCCCTGCAGCCGTCTTCGGTGGCCGAGGGGCTGCAGGGAGGTCCTCGGCCCCCTCCATTGGCTATTGACGCCGTAAAGTATTAGTGTATTGGTGTATTGGTGGGAGAGGGCGACCCAAGCGGCCCCTATGATGGCAGCCGCAAGGGGTGTGAGGCCTATGATGGTCCTCGCTGGTGAGGCCTATGATGGTCCTCACCGGGGTGGGGGTGGGGGAAGAGGGCAGAACGTTGAAGCGGATGTCCGGCAGCAACGTCCTGGTGGGATACTTGAAAAGGGGACTTACAAACAACGTCTGCCCTCCGCCTATGTTCCAGAGGAGCCCCGTTCAAAGGGCGACGTCGACGACGACGAGGGCCAAGGACGAAGACGAGGACGAAAACGAGGACGACGACCGGCGAAGGAGGAAGGAGGAGGAAAGCAGAGGCAGAGAGAGAGAGGGAGAGAGAAGAGAGAGAGGGAGAGAGAGAGAAGAAGAGAGAGAGAGAGAGAAGAGAGAGAGAGAGAGAGAAAGAGAGAGGCAGAGACGAGGACAGAGTGCACGCCTCGGGGGGTCGGCCCCCGGACCCGGAAGATACGAAATACACAGATTTCGTATCACAAGGTAGCTGGCAGCGAAGCTGCATCATGGCACCCCGGGAGCGTGCAGCAGCAGGGATGCACCACCTGGAGTGCGAAAGCGAGACGTGGTGGCGTTAACCCGGCCGAAGCCCGGTGACCAGAGGAGGCCCCCAGAGGCCGACAAGGGTCACAGGCCGGAGGTATCCACAACCTGTATCTCCGCGGGTGCGATTTATTTTCTCCGCCGGCACGAATGGACCGGTACACCCAAAAGCACAGGGATTCAACAGCGGATAGGCCAGTACACCACAAAAAAAATGGATGGACCGGTACACCCAAAAGCATTTATTGGCTTTATCCCATGGGGTGGGATACCCGCAGGGGCATACACCCATAACCCACGACACACACCACACGAATACACACACACTCGACCACACCCCCCAATCAGACGTGTAGAAAGTCCCAGCCCCCCGCGTGCAGCTGATGGGGCGACCCCAGCGGCAGTGGAGGCCTCCAAAGGTCCTGGCAGGGTAGCCTGAAGGAGGGAAGTAATGACGCGGATCCGCTCGGAGGGGGAAGTGGGAGGGGGAAGGAGGGGAGAGCGGGGAGGGGGAAGAAGGAGGGGGAGAGGAGAGGAGGGCCAGGGGAGGGGGGGCGGGGACGGGGAGCGTCTCGGAAGCTGCTGTTCATAATAGCTAGGGTCCTGAGTCCTGACAGGGGCACCTGAAACGGGAAACCTGAAAGAGGAAAGCGGGCCGGACCGGGGAACCTGAAGCCGAAGCAAAGCGACAGGGGGGGACGATCCAAGGCGGCCCCTGGACAGCTCGCGGCGAGGGCCGCTGCTCCGGACATGTAGATTGGGCGGCGGCGGCGGCGGCGACGACGGCGGCGACGACGACGACGACGACAACGACGACGACGACGACGGCGGCGGCGACGACGACGACGGCGACGGCGACGACGACGACGACCGACGACGACGACGACGACGACGACGAGGCGACGGCGACGGCGACGGCGATTTCTATCTACCCATCCTTAAAGAAAGGGGGGGGGAAAGAGGGGACTAGGCCCAGCCACACACCTGCGCCCCAAGTGGCAGACGGAGGTGGCTGGGAGGGTTCTGCATACCCGTCTTTGGAGAGCTCGGTCAAAAGGCGGGGAGCGGGAACGACCTCACGAGTGACGCCGCGGCGGCACATGTGACACCGCGGCGGCACGGGTCGAACCGTCACCCTTGGTGTACTGGTGTACTGGGTTGGCAACTGCCGCCAAAGAGTATTATATTACTGACATTGACAGGCACCGTCAGCCGGCAGGGGATAAATCCCGTTCACGGCCCCATGGAGGAATATGAGGAATTGGTTTACTGGTGTACTGGTTGATTCGTGCATGAAGGTGGAGGTACGTTTGGACCCCTCCCTGCAGCCGTCTTCGTTGGCCGAGGGGCTGCAGGGAGGTCCTCGGCCCCCTCCATTGGTTATTGACGCCGTAAAGTATTCGTGTATTGGTGTATTGGTGGGAGAGGGCGACCCAAGCGGCCCCTATGATGGCAGCCGCAAGGGGTGTGAGGCCTATGATGGTCCTCGCTGGTGAGGCCTATGATGGTCCTCACCGGGGTGGGGGTGGGGGAAGAGGACAGAAAGTTGAAGCGGAAGTCCGGCAGCCACGTCCTGGGGGGATGCCTGAAAACGGGACTTAAAAACAACGTCTGGCCTCCACCTATGTTCCAGAGGAGCCCCGTTCAAAGGGCGACGACGACGACGACGAGGGCCAACGACGAAGACGAGGACGAAAACGAGGACGACGACCGGCGAAGGAGGAAGGAGGAGGAAAGCAGAGGCAGAGAGAGAGAGGGAGAGAGAAGAGAGAGAGGGAGAGAGAGAAGAAGGGAGAGAAGAGAGAGAGAAGAGAGAGAGAGAGAGAGGCAGAGACGAGGACAGATGTGCACGCCTCGGGGGGGTCGGCCCCCGGACCCCGGACCCGGAGCAAGGACGGAAGGAGGGAACAAGGGGTGACAAGGGAGGGGGACTCTCTTTGGAGCCGCCAGGGGGTCTGCGGCGGTCCAGCACTGGTTCCAGCTAGCAGGAAAGGCGGGCAGGTTTGAGGTCAAGGTTTGGGAAGGTTTCTTGTCGCGTTCGGCCTCCCAGGGCCGTTTTCGGGCCCTGGGATTGTGAGCAAGTGATCTGGGGTGGAAAATTGCACCAAATGGACCCTGGAAGGGGTGCCCGGGGACCGACTTTGAGCGGATTTGTCCTCATCCCCTTTCCTGACGGATTTCTGGGGTCCCAACCAGTTCAGACCCCCAGCCGCCCCCATCACTTTCTCCATCTCCCACCTACCTCTCCACAGCAAAACTTGAGCTGTCTCAGCCTTGCCCTGCCTTGATTTGTGCTCGCTGACCCGTTACGCTGCGACTGCGTCGCGAATGCGGGGGCCGCAGAAGCTTCGACCCATTCCCTGGGACCAGCGTTGCATCCTGAGTCGTTTTTCGACGGTCTCGGGGCCCAGAGAGGGCCCCCCTGAGGCCGACAAGGACGAAAAGCCTGCGCATTGAGTTTCTCAATACGTTGGAGGTCTGGGAACGAGGGGTGACAAGGCAGGAGGACGGCCGTCTGCGGCGGCGGCGGCGGCCCGCCCTGCGGGGCCTCCGAGCGGCGCGCCCGGCCCGAGGCCGCTCCCGACGGCGCTGGGCCGCCGACGCCGGCGGGCGGCTCCCCGCGGGGCTCGCCCAGCCGAGCGGAGGCGCCGCCGAAAGGAGTAGGAGGGGGGATGAGATGATTGTGGCGGTGGTGGTGGTGGTGATGATGGTCGTGGTGGCGGTGGTGGTGGTGTTGATGATGATCGTGGTGGTGGGGGTGGTGATGACGACGACGACGGCGGCGAGGATGATGAGGAGGATGACGATGCTGATGATGATGCTGATGATGCTGAGGATGGAGAAAACGACGTCGAAGAGGCGGATGACGATGATGCTGATGATGGTGGTGGTAGTGGTGCGATGATGGTGATGATGATGGTGATGATTGTCATGATGATGATGATGCTGATGATGATGCTGGTGATGATGATGATGATGATGATGATGATGATGATGATGATGATGATGATGGTGATGGTGATGGTGATGGTGATGGTGATGGTGATGGTGGTGGTGAGGATGATGATGCTGCTGCTGGCGGAGGGGGAAGGGGATGGGAGGAGGAAGGGGAGGGGGTGGCACAAGCCAGGTGCGCTCGTGTCACTCCTACCCCTGATGGTCAGCAGGGCAATGATTCCCGGAAGGTGCGCGATGCATCGTACAGCACGGAATAGCAGGGCGTAGAAGACCACGGTAGAGCGTAGTATGTCATAGCATGGCGTGGCGTTGCGTAGTGAAGCATTGCATCACAAAGTATTGCAACGCAAAGAATGGCCTCGCACAGCAGCGCAGAGCAGAACATGACATAGCATGGCGTTCAAAGCCTAGCATGGCACAGCATGGCGTGGCACTGCGTAGTCAAGCACTGCGCATCCTAGCATTGCAGCTGAAAGCATGGCATCGCACAGCGGAACACCGTATAGCATTGCATTGCATGCCGTGGCATGGCACTGGAAATAATGACGCCAGCGCTGCAGCCGGAGCACGATTCGGAAAGAGCGGCGGAAGCGCGGAAATGAGGCCAGCGCTGCAGCGGGAGCAGGGTTCGGAACGAGCGGAAGCGCGGAAATGAGGCCAGCGTTGCGGTTCTTCTCCTCCTCCTCATCCTCATCCTCCGCCTTCTCCACAAGAGCTATTGTGGCTGGACCTCTCGCTCTAACCCGGCGGGGACTCGAGGCCCCCATTTCTATCTGGAATGAGGCAATCAATGTGTTGCGCAGCCCGGGCCAGAAAGGAAGATCAGTAGAGCTTCGCTTTTGAGTTGTTCTGATAGCCAGGACACTCCGCCTCTGACGGGCGCATCATCATCACCACCACCACTATCATCATCATCATCATCATCATCATCAGCAGCAGCAGCAGCAGCAGCAGCATAATCATCATCAGCATCATCATCATCATCGTCGTCGTCATCATCATCATCATCATTACCATCATCACCACCGCCAGCATCATCATTTTCATGATCATCGTCGTCATCATCATCATCACCATCATCGTCACCACCACCGTCACCTTTACCATCACCACCATGACCATCACCATCACCATCATCATCACCATCAACACCAACATCACCATCACAAACATCATCATCATCATCATCGTCACATAGCACCCATCGTCACTCCATCACCATCATCATCAGCATCATTATCACCATCTCTAGAATTGCCATCGTCATCACCAGCAGCATCAACAGCACCATCATCATCATCATCATCATCATCATCATCATCATCAAACACCACAATCATCACCCTCATCACCACCCTCACCATCACCCTCACCATCATCATCGCCATCACCATCACCATCACCATCACCATCACCATCACCATCACCATCACCATCACCATCACGGTCACCATCACCATTGCCATCACCATCACCATCACTTTCACCATCACCATCACCATCACCATCACCATCACCATCACCATCACCACCATCACCATCACCATCACCATCACCATCACCATCACCATCACCATCACCATCACCATCACCATCACCATCACCATCACCATCCTCTTCCTCCTCCTCCACCTCCTCCTCCCCTCCACTCTCTCTTCCTCCCTCCCTCCCTTCTCCTCTTCCTCCTTCCCTCCTCCTCCTCCTCCTCCTCCTCCTCCTCCTCCTCTTCCTTACCCCCCCCAGACGTGTCGGTAGGGCGGTCCGAGTGATTCGCCTGAGATTCCTCAGCAGTTTCAGCTATGGGGCCGCGTTTTTATTGTTTTTAAATGTGGCTCTCGCCTTAGCGCCGCGCACATTCGTTTCACAGTTTGCAGCAGTTTCAAGGATGAGGTTCGTTCCTTCTTACACTGTTGCTCTCGCCTCAGCAACGCGCACATTCGTCTTGAACTGTGCGAGGAGTTGAAGGATTCAAAGTCCCAGGAACGATGTTCTGTTTCGAGTTAGAAGTAGGAGGACGTGTCAGTCACGTTGATTCACGTCGTTCTAGTACGATTGAGGATTGTCACGACGACGCCGTCACGTAGATTCGCGGCGCGGATTCAGTGGCTGGCATGATCAAGGATTATCAGACGATTGTCTTTCAATTCTGCATCTACTCAAATGAACATCAGCTCTTCTTGTAGAGACCTGTGAAGAGGGAACTCCGAGGGGGGGTGTCCTGCAATATTTTTGCTGCATCTTGGGTTTGTGCTGGTCCTTCTCCTCCTCCCTCCCTCCCTCCCTTCCTCCCTCCTCCCTCCCACCTCCCTCCCTCCCTCCCTGCTGCTGCGGACGCGAAATGATGCCACAGATAACTGCAGCAATTTCTGTCTGGCACCTGAGACGCCCATCACCTCACCCAGCGGTGACTGATTACATGTAAATTTTTCCATAGGCCGACTTGCAAATATATCATATATTTTATAAATTAGCTTCTGTGTGCCACGCTCTGTAAACTTCTGGTCGGGTGGGATTTATTTCCTCCAGCGACACAAGCCGTCGGTACATAGATTTACAAGCCGTCACCCGTGCGACTCGGCACTGGGAGTGTGGCTGACATCCGGCCGCCTCCTGGTTCCAGGTCGCGCGGCGGGCGTGCGACACGTGGTGTGTGGTTGGTATCCGGCCGCCTCCTCGCTTCGCAGCGTCCGTGTAGCGCCAGTCCCAGCATGCATGTAGCAGACAACGCGGGAACCGACAGTAGAACAGGATGTCCTCATAAGCATTGGGCTTTTTTTTTGCTTCAAGCTTCGTGTCGCGGAGCACGATTCCCGCCAGCGCTTATGAGAATAGTGTGTTGCATCGTTTTTTGGGCCAGGAGGTGTGGGGCAACGCCACCTCCTGGCAGCGGAGGCTGCTGACCGGGTGTGGCAACTCCCCGGTCGCAGGGATCATCTCCAGAACTGTTTTGGCTCAAGACATTTGGAGTTCCAGCGAGCCTCCGAGTGGAAAAACAATCGATCCTGCCAGATTGCAGGGCGCACTGGATTTCATCGGTTCTGTTTCCAACGACGCGGGCACCGGCGTGGCGCGAGCAGGGTTGGCCAGGGATTTCGCGGGGGCTTGCCCGGAGCGCGCTGCGCCAGGTTCCGGGGCCCAGTTGTTCGGCCACTGGGGGGGGGCGCGAAAGGCGCGCCGCTGACCGAGCAGGCTCGGCAACTCCCTGATGTCCTCGGCTCTGCGCCAGCTGCCCAGCATGTATTTTCAGCTGCTTGGCGTTCGTGTCGCGCGTCTTGCACGCGGCCGGAAGTTTGTGCGATTTGCTGGGCTGCGCCCGCACATCGGTCATCTGGCGGTTGCCTCGGAACCCGGGCGACGCCCAGCAGCTGCGCCTGGGCGGCGCCATTCCGCGCCCACCGACTCGTCGGCGAGCAGCGGAATCGTGCTCGCATTAACCAGTTACCGTAGGGTGACGAACAGCTGCTGGCAGCAGGCGCCGGGCAGGCCAAGACGGGGCGTTCGATGGACGACTATGTCTTCGACGTCCCCGAGGACGCCGCCATCGCCGAGGGGTTTCCCCATCGGCCATGTCGGTTGTGCAAAAATGGGCCGGCAGCGATTTCTCGGGCCACGTCCAGCAGGCGACGTTTGCTGCCTGGCGGGAAGTCGATGGGGGCAGACAGAGGATCTGGCACGGGAGCTGCAGGGGCTTGGGAACGCCGACAGTGAGCAAATGCCCCAGCT